AATATGTTAGATGTTTGCTTTCAAGTATGTATACGCCTTCATTACACTAATAGTTTGCTATCCATTAATGTTATTATACATGTCACTATATATATTATATGTTATAGAATGTGACCAAAAAATTAGCACATGATTTATTTCATAATCATAGACAGGCTAGCGATGAAGAGATAAAAGAGCAACTTAAAGAAATATTAGAAAATAATGATGAATATAAGGAAAATCTACAAAAATTAAATGAAAAAGATGTTTCGTTTAACAAGTTTTGGAGCAATAAGCTTTATTCAGAAGTAGGCATTTTAATCCAATTTTACTTATATAAGTGCCCAAGAGTAAACCTGCAATTTTAAAAATAGATTATTATAAATTTTATAATCTATTTTTAAAATTGCGTATTTACTCTTGCGGTATTGATATATAATTACTAAATATTAGATTTAATTTATTTAATATACAGATACTTTCAGCCATTTGGTTAAAAAAAGGTTATTATATTCGATACGTGAAAGAGAGATTGTAGAGCACCTTTGGTATTAATCAAATAAAACTATTTAGTGAAAAAGACACAAAAGCGCAAATAAAGATTGGAAAAAAAATTCTAAAAAGGCATATAATGACTTATACAACTCCTGTGACCCAGATGATCCAAATTCTGACATATTTCTTTCATTAATCATAAAATATATTTTTGTTTCCAATGAAGAACGTACCCAAGCAAATGCTATTTGGACCCAAGCAGTTCTGGAGACTATTTTTGATAAGGAATATCTTTCACCAAAAATTAATAGAAATGTCATCGATATGTGGATTCAGAAGCTTTTGAACCCTGAGGATAATGAAAATGTATATATATGTACGTATTATTTATTTATGATTTTACCAATTTATTTAAACTAGAGGTACAGTTGTAACTTTGTAACTTGTTATAACTATAGTGATTTCTACATTTTTTTTATAACTTATTATAGTTATGACAAGCTACAGAGTTACACCTGCACCTCTAATTGAACATATAATTTTTTTTTAGGATACTATTATACAAAAAGGTCCTGCAAGTTTTTGCGCAAGTTCTCCCGCAATATCAGAAGCAGCGATTCAAGAAAATTATGAATTATTTAGTGGTGATGATAATGAAAATGATTGTAGTAGTGATAGCAATTATGAGGAAGATTAAATTGCAAGAACAATTTAAGTGATTTAATTACGTAGCAATACGTTAGGTAGTAAATTAGTACTTAATGATTATTGTATATATTTCATATATTAGTTATATACTTTGCTA